CTCACTCTCATACACACACACACTCACTCTCATACACACACACACGCACTCTCATACACACACACTCACTCACTATCATACACACACACACTCACTCTCATACTCACTCACATACACACTCTCACTCTCTCTCACACACACACACACACACAAAAACTCACTCCCTCCCTCTCACACACACACTCTCTCTCACACACACACTCTCTCTCACACACACACTCTCTCTCACACACACACTCTCTCTCACACACACACTCTCTCTCACACACACACACACATGTCTGGTCAGCTATCCTTGTAGGGACTCTCCATAGGTGTAATGGTTTATAAACTGTACAAACTGTATATTCTATTGTCCTACACCAACCCTACCCCTAAACCTACCCCTCACAGGAGACTTTCTGCATTTTTACAATCTAAAAAAAAAACTCATTCTGTACGATTTATAAGCTTTTGTCCCCACGGTGACACAAGTGCCCATGAGTTGCTCCGTATTCAGGTTTTAGTCCCCACCAGTGTAGAAAAACCTGTATACACACACACACACACACACAGACAGACACACAATGAGGGCTGAATCTTTAAAAAGCTTTAAAAGTTATTTTACTATATATATTAAAAACATTGTTTTAATTGAAACAAAGCTGAAATAAAATATAAAAAATTAAAAACATAATAAAAAAGAAATATTGGCGACTGTAAAATAATAAAATTACCAAAAATTTTGCAAAAATTTAAATGAACTAAAAATATTAAACTAAAAGTGAATTAATGATTAAAAAGTGTATAAGTGCAGTGTATAAATAATTCTAAAATAACACTGCTCATAACCAGGGTTATTATTTTTTACCTAAAACTATTAAAAACATATTGTTAATTGAAATAAAGTGGAAATAAAATAAAATATAAATATTAGATGGAAAAAAATAGAAATGTTGGCAAGTAAGTTTAAAATAATAAAATTGAATTAAAAAAATAAAATGAAATGAAAAATTTAAAAAAGCTAATCAATGATTTTAATAAAAATAATATATAAATAATTGGAAAATAACCAGGGTTATTATTGTTGCCTAACACTACTAAAAATATTTTATTAATTAAAATTAAATGAGGCTGAAATTAATTAAATTAAATATAAATGTTAGATGAAAAAAAAAATAAGAAGAAAATCAAATAAGAAAACAAAACTAGAAATGTTGGCAAGTAACTGAAATAATAAAAAATTTAATAAATATAATACAATTACTAAAATGAGCTGAAAAGATCAAAATAAAAAAACAAATGAATGATTTGAATAAAAAACTTTAAATAGTACATTAGTACTAAAATAACTGTTAATAGCCATGTAAAATAGTACAGTGTATCAGGCTGATTATTGTATTCATGTGCTGTGATATTTACACATTTCTTGGACAATGCTATGATTTTAATGATAGTAATTGTGTAATTCAAATGAAGTTTCCATGAAGTGCATGTTCTGTGAGTTACTGAGAACATGCGTTGTAGGAGTATGACTTCATATTTGGTGTGTTTGGGAGGTCTCTGGTGTGTGTGTGTGTGTGTGTGTGTGGTGACGGTGCTGTTTAACACTGTTTAACAGGACCCAGAAATGCAAATAACGCTGCATGCTCACTCCAACACAGCAGTAATTAACTGAGGAGGAATTTCAATAATATAGAAATAAATTGTGTCAAGGATTTGTGTGTGTGTGTGAGTGAGATGTAGAGAGGGAGTTTGAAGATGGCCCTTGGGG